TAATAGCTGTAGGATCGGGTTCAGGCTTTTAACCAACTTTCAAAGTATTTTCACGCATTAGGGTTTTGTCTGTGAGCGAACTTTAAAGAAGCCCTGGCAATGCGAGTCCAAACTGCGAAAAACGGCCCCGTCGCTCGATGTGCGACTGTGCTCCTGCTGGCCGCTGCTGGGGAACCAGCGCTCTGAGTTCAAGGTCTCGCCACTGGCGTGTCTGCTTGCTGGAGAATCCAGCTGTAATTTTGCCTCCTGGGTACAGTGACAACCTCACTGAGGTGGCCAAGACTCGTCCCAAGCCCCAGGGCTCTGCAGGCATGGCCATGGCCCGAGCACACTCATCCCAACAGAGGCCGCGTGCACTGAAGCCACCGAGGTGTCACTGCAGCAGAGCCGAGGCCACATAGGTCTCTCTCTCTTTTGTACAGCGTGATTTCTACTTTACCTATTTTTGCTACTTGTTTGCTACTGTCCTAGAAATGCTGTTGGGAAAGACTTCTATCAGGAATAAGCAAACACCATCTGGTGCAGAGAAAGCTTTATTTCTACAGAGTAAGCCACTACCTAAAAGCTTAAAAAGTCCTTGTACCTGTGAAATTTCTGTTGACTAAATTGTAATAACTTGTAGACAAGTCTGAGAGGTTTTGAGTGGTTCATTTTCCTGTATTTGCCAGGATTACAACACTGGGCTGCCAAACCCATATAGAGAATTAAGATTCCCTACTGAAAAAATTCCTTGTCAACAAAATAGGCATTTACAAATGAATGGGCTGACACCAGGCCGACAAGGCACCTGCCCTGATAAAATCTTTAAAAAGCTGGGGCATAACAAAACCTAGCAGATGTTGTAAGGGGTTTAAGTTTGCCTTAAAAAGGCGATTGTTTGTGTTACTTAATTTTGAGGAAGTGACTTGCACAGCTGGGGGTAGAAATGTTGATGGAGATGTTCCCTGCAGTAAAAGAAAACAGCCACAACTGTAAAGAATAATTGTTGGTAGTTTATTTACAACCAAATGCAAGGAAAAATACAATATTAAAAATAATAAATAACTCGGAAAAATCAGAAACTAAGCAATATGAATGAGAAATATGACAATCCAATCCTCCTGATGAGTCTTGCGCTATTTAACATGCAAAGCATTTCCAAACTTGGTCCTTTCTTTGATGGTAGTGATGTATTGCCTAATGTAGCCATCACTGCTCTGAATAAAAGAAGTTAATTACTGGACATTCAGAGTCACGTGGAATTATCACAGAAATGAAATAAAACAATGAACCCTGTTTTAGTGACACCACAAAACTACAGGAGATTGTAATTCAATGACCATGCTGTTCACTTAAAGCAAAAAAACATTGTTAGACTTATTTAGCAATTTTAACTTACACATATAAACCCAAGTCCAAACAATGGAAACAGAAAAGCTCCTATTGACAAGATCATGAATCTCTCTCACTGCACTCATAATTAGCATATTCATAAAAAGCATATACATTTGGCTTATTTCAAATGATAGCACATTGTTTTGAAGTTATAGTGCAGCAAGCTTCAAAGCAGTTTTAACAAAATATAGCGGTCTCCTTATGAACTAAAATTCAAGGAACAAATACTTCCATTTCAAAATCTCTACAGCAGCAATTAATGCAAATTGGCTACTAGATGTCACAAAATCACCTTCCAGAATAGTCAAAAAAGCCAAAGAATAAGGTGAAATAGCTTCTTTCCATAGGATTTATCCAGTCATTTACAAAATTAACCACTACATTCATAAGAAATCCTGTTCAGTATGTGTTTCAGGAATGTGCTGCTCCTCATAGTCTTTATAGGTATCTCCCTTTTTTAACTTATTATGAGATCTACCCTTCTAAAGACTGCAGTGAATTGCCAGTTATTTTGTAATGATTGTTCTATAGGAAATACATAAAAGTACAAGCAGAGCCGGAGGTTTTAATAGAAACCCAATCTAACTAATCGTGTTACTTGCTCTGAACTGTATTCTCCTCGATTAAAAAATTCCTTGTCAAGTCCTAGCAGAGCTGTATCACGTAATTCTTCGTCACTGGCAGAGAACAGGAACACGGGCGTTGTGCCTATTCAGCTTTGCTGTGTGGCACCATCCTCTAAAGATGTACTCGCTCAATAATCACAGCGTTTATTTTTACAAAAGAAGCGGCGAACTCCTGCAAAATGCTCTGTGTTTTTCTCCTAAGGAATGTTTGAAAATACAACTTTGTGGGGGTTTGAGTATTTGCTGGGAATATTCTAGTAAAAGTTACCCTGCCTTCAAAAGCAAACAAATGAACAAACCCCAACCAAACAGGAAAAGGTATTTAAAGATCCTATTGACCAGATGGTAACCACTGGTGGGGAAAGCAAAGCAGAACACAGCGCAAGGTACTGCACAGGCAACAAAAAGCCTGCGGTACTGCTCATGCAAAGCAATGAAACGTTACAGATCTTTTGATTTGCCCTCATTAGGAAGCAGCGCGGAGACGATGGGGCTGACCAATGTGGCTGATCGCGATCCTTGCTGTGGCCAAGGGTGAACTCAGGCTGCTGGGTCAGTAAATGCGACGCTCCTTGGGAGCAGCACTGCTCGCTGGAAGGGCTACGGCAGTGGCACACAAAGATGGAGACAGAGCGTTAAGCTGTCTTGTCATTTTTTCCAGGACATCATCAGTGTCTTTCTCCTACATCTCTGTCATGCAGTCACTAGGATGTGTCCTATTCAGGGATGTTAATGATTTTCCTACATGCCTTGTCTCCAAACCTACTTAATACGATAACCAATGTACCCACATGGGATTGGAAATCAATCAGTTAAATATAAGTAAAGGTATGACTGCTTTGGTCTCATAATCTGTGTCAAAGCCAGATGGCGAAAGGTATAGAGAACCAGTAATAGGAAAGCACAAGGACATTATGACTACAGCTGAGCTCTTATTTGACAAAGAACAAAAATCACTGAAAAATGACTTTGAGGTGGAGCAGATGTAAACTATTTCTATATAGATAAACTTCAGGAAATGAAGAAACAACCAAACAAGGCTTTATGTTTTCAAAGGTTTCCCTTCTTTCCTGATATTCCAATCTTGCTCCTAAATAAATAATAATAGTCAAAAGATTGGACCAGTTATACTCATGAATATATAATTGGCACACTTTTAAAGCTGAAATCATCAACTAATGTAGGAAAGTTTTGTTTGCATCATTACAGCAGCTTCTTTTTAAACAAAAAGGTCATCACCCATTAGTTTACTAATCACACAGAATTACTAGCTCCAAGAACTAAAGCAAAGCAAAACACGGACAGTAAGTGGGAGAACGCATGAAGTCAGGCCACACCTAACCTACAGAGAGCTCCCGGGTTTTGCTAGCTACAGGATTTTAACTGTCAAGCAAATATACACTTGTTTTCAGTGCAGGTTGGCAGTGGAATTCCTTCTCCTGCTACTAAAACTACCCTATAAATATCACACATTCAGCGTAATGTCTACTGGATCTGCAGCCGTTGAGTTCAGTGCACTTCAGGCAGTCAGATCACAGCGCTGCGCTGAGCAGGTGCCACAAACCTGTTCCCGTAAAAGGCCATTGCCAAACTGACTGTTCAACATCCAGTGATAGTTCAGCTCTAGAGGACTCTCATTTTTTTCTTTTTTTTCTTTTTTTAATCCGTGTACCGTGTCACTGGTGGTACAAAGCATCACCCACTTTGATCATGTAATTCAGGTAACAGCTATCACTCTCTGGGAGTTTAACAGCGGCTAATTTAACATCCACTACAGCTACCAATAGAGACAGATACCGAGAGCGTTCATTAAACAGCAGTTTGTATGGAAGAGAACAACGTACCCCAGATGGGGGTCAGTGGGGAAAGTTTCTCACTGAGCTTACATTTGGAAAAGGAAGAGACCACTTCTACTATTTATTTTTCTCCTCCTTCCACAATCTGCACTTCCCTCCTGGGAAACACCCTTTTCCACATTTTAATTCCTGAGATTGAAGAGTGATTTCACACGCAGACCAGGAAGAGCGCTTCTGTTTCCTTAACGTCACCCTGCATGGGACTGAGCAGCCCCAGGATTGATTTGCTTTTTCAAGTGACAGATTTGGTTCACCCCTTCCCTAGACGATGGTAAGGCCTGGAAGCAGCTTTTGTTAGCAGAGATTGTGCTGTTTAGGAAAGATGTGAGGCAGGAAAGAAAAAGGAGTCTAATATTTTCTTTCCTTTACATTCAAGGTCTTGCAGCGTAAACTACCACTCTTCTTCTGGTGAGGAAAAGGCAGAATTCATTGGTTTTGCTTCTCAACTGGCTCCATTTAGCTGCTTTTTTTTCAATCTTACACATGGAACACCATTGATGAACACCAATACAGACTTAAGAGATCACAAAAGGACAGGGGAGAGCTATTAAAATACATTATCTACAAGAAATAGGTGGTTTCTTTTACAAATTCTGTGCAAGATAGAAATAGTTCAATGGCCTCAAAGTCAGTATAATTAATTACAGCTGGGGCTTCAATACAGTGATATTTTAAGTTTGAAAACTTTTGTGTTTGTTAGCTAGGCCCCATATCCTGAGTCATATTAAGCAAAATGTGAATCTGAGTGATTGCTGTTGGTGTTCAAGTACAATGAGTTACAGGTCAAGGGTTTATGAATACACAGGAGAAGCCTGAGAGTAGGAAGGATTTTCAAATTGGCTACAAAAGAAGAAACAGGGAGTTGTTGGTTTTTTTCCTGTTAACCCTGCATTCTGCTGGCATTAATTTGCCTCAGAAGTCCTTGGTAGCTTTACTAAATAACTACTCCTAATTATAAATGCTATAACCTAGATAAGGATTTGTAGGTAGAACACTGCTACAGAAAGATTTATTTTCTTTTCTAGGGTTCCTCTCAGACTATTTCATTGTAGGTCAGTATGATGCACGGTATGGCTTGAAACACTACTTCAGGAATATATAAACTATGTTCTTTTGCATGCACTTCTCTGAAGGTTTTAAGGATCAAGTCTGAGGAAAGAAGTAATCTTTCCACACCATTAAGATTATTTTAAGCAAAAAAACAACCACCAACAAACCACCATGAGCTTTGTAGAAACAGAGTTACGTCACTCTTGCTGTGGTAGACATGGCTTATCGGGAGGAACATGCTGGGTTAATTTAAAGGGTTTTTTTCGCTAGATCTGGAAGAGTGAGAGTTTCTGGAGCAGACTTTTTCCGAGGCCGGTCTTTGGGAACTGTTAGGAATTCAGGAGCATCTGTGGAGAGGGGAGTTGATGGAGCACTAGATGGAGCACTGCGGGTTGAAGAAGGCATGGAAATGTTAGAGATAGATATTGCAGGTGGGAAAATCCCAATCTTCTTGTTGGTGGCTTCCTGAGTGGCTCGTTCGAACTCTCGGACTTCATCCATTGTCATGTCTTCAACAAGCCGGAAAGAAAAACAAAGGCATGTAAGAATAATTTCAGATCATCATTTCATTAACTCAGTTCCATCCAAATTCTAAATCAGGGAATGCTTCCTTATCATGCATATCATTAAGTGACTCTCCACATGAATGCCATCCTATTGTAATTCATTGCCTGGAGTACAATAAGCAGCCAATATAAAGGAAACGAAGTTAAGTACATTAATCACATACCAATGGTTCTTCTACCTGGGTCTGAACTTTATATCGATTGCTACCTCTGTAATTGCTGGAAAAATCAAGCTATTGCACAGGCAATTAAAGAATACATTTAGATACACAGCAAGTACAATTTTTCAGAACTTCAAGACAAAACTGACAGGGTGTTCTCTATTTTTCATTTAGAGCATGAGCATGAATGGGTGAAGAGTTCTCATCGGTTTGCTCATCTATTGTAATTATCAAGGGATGACAACTTGTGCCCCCATGCATAGATTCCACTGACTTTCAGTTGCAGCTGCACGCACATAACTACGGCCGTTTTGCTCTTCTGCTAATACAGCCTAAAGATCAAGCCACAACATGCTTTCCAACTTTTCCACTTGCAATCTGTACTTTACACATCTATGGACAACTAACAAATCCACTGCTTAATTGCCTGCACAACAGAGGCAAAACGAGGTTAAAGCCATTTTGCAGTGGAAGATCAGGTCCACAGAAAGCAGTCGAAGTCTTCTCTGCAGGTGACAAACGTGTCACAGTGCTGGAGAAACCCACAAGAGGGCAGAGCGATCCCACCATAGATGTACTCTCAGCTGAGTAGGGCAAAACTTCTTTGGTAAAATCCCCAGCATGACATTTGCTAAGAAACGGTCAGCTAGGCAAAAAACGAGCAAGATCCTTCGGAAGCCTAGTGCTTCACGTCTGCGTTGCCTGCAGGATGGCCACTGAGCTAAGCCAAATGCATTGTAATGGTTTTCACTGAACATCACGGGAAATGTGTAAACTTGAAGTATTTCATTAAGCCTTTTTGTAGATACTTTGAGCTCTGAAAGCTCAAACCAGCAAAAATAAGACCATCAGCATTTTAATCAATTTAAAATTCTTGCACATTTGTGTGGCTGAGACACAGGACAGGCAACAGTGCTGATCGTATCTGGGACAAAATTCCACACTTCCAGTACGTCGATACTTTTTAATATTACCCAGCTGCATGCATCTGTAGCCATGGCTGCAAATGTTCTGTAGAAGCAGCTTTATGTTGTATTACACCATCATCTTAAATAAACAGAAGTGTGCCCGTTGCCAACTGCCTTCTCTCTTCCCCGCAGACGACATTCCAGGGACCTTCTCAGCCTCCATTGCCAGTTATTAGGAGTGAGGACCAAGCTGTTTTCAAATCTGAGATAAGTGGTGGAAATAAACAGATGGTCTCAGAGGAACTGTACCTGCTTGTGCTGGAGATAGATTTGAACCTGGTTTGCTAATTTACATTCTGTTTCACACCCTGCGAGTGTGTGTGTGTGTGTGTGTGTGTGTGCACGTTGTGCTTCTGAACTCGCAGGGTTTAAAAGCACCCTGACATCAAAGGCATTCGTTCCAGCTATTTTCGACTGAGGACTTCTGTGCAACATGAAACAAAAGCTGTCTCGGATAAATACGTGAAAGAGGACTGGAAGATTTCTCAGTTCCCTGGCTGTTTAAGTGACGACTGATTAAAGTCGTGCTAAGTGGTCACCTCCAAGAGTGCTCATTTTAAATTCAGATGTGAAATACTTACTGTCCCTTCAGTTGACTTTCACTTCTTAGCTTAAAATACTTACTTTAAATTCCCTTCTGTCCTGATACACACTCAAGTAAAACAAACCCCTACCCTGAGCTAAGAAGACACCGTCTCTTTTCATTTCTTCATTAATGACAAATTCTGTTCTGACCTCCATGGCAATTTTTCCACATGGGAACTGAGGATGGGAGACTTCACTCAAAGCTGAATCCTGATGTGTAGAGCCAGTTGGAACTGATTCTTAATTTACTGCTCAGCTAAGGAGTAACCTTGATGCCAATGAAGCTGCAGCCTTAGAAACACAAGAATTACTTTCTTGGTTTTTACTGAGACAACAGCATCTCAGGCTGGTGACCATTTTTACAGAGCGAGACCAAAGGGAAGAGTTCAAGCCCTTCAGGCCTTGCCCCACACTCATTACATGAGTAAAACCATCGCCAAAGTCTACAGCGCCATTAGCAGAAATAATGAAATAATGGCATTTCAAAATCAAGTATCACTGCATTTTTTCTATTTGCAGAGAGCAATAATTTCTAATTTTAGGCCCCTACTTGAGGTGCCCAGATTAGGAACTTAAAATACTTTAAGAAATTTCCAGAATCTGAATCAAAGAACCTACACAGAAACCTGCCCTTCTCCACAAACTGCTGTTACATACTTCTGAAAATACTTCTCACCTTGTTGGTAGCTAATCAATGACAACATTAAAATTCGTTTGAAAAGAGTGAATAATTCATTAGCTGCTTTTTTTTTTTTTTCCTGGTGAAACAAACAATTTTATCAGTTCCATAGAAATTTTCCACTCCCCATGTTCCTGGCTTTTTGACTGAAGCACTCTGACCACCTGCATGTTTTAACTGTTCAAATAGTAAGTGAAACTCCTATTTAACTTCCTCTTTATAGATCCAACTGAAATTTGAGAGATGTGTCTTCCTGGAAGACAGGGAGTTACATATGAGCCCAAGCCCACCCTTTCTTACATCGGTGCCTGTTTACAGTGCAAATGAAAGGCAGGATTGCACTTCATGGAGAAACATCTGTTCCTACTGAAGCAAAACCTCCCCAAAATTCCACTGACTGGTCAGCAAGATCAGCTGGTTGCTCTTCTCTAATCTGTGCAGGTTTATTAGCTGAGGGTGGGCAATATGTTTTAAAAATTGACATACTCTTGCTTTGGCATGGCTCTCTATTTCATCCACAGTAGATGAATGTTGGTTGCAAACTTTAATGTTGGTTTTTTCATGCATATTTTTCTCGTATTCTCGAACATCATCCATAGTCATATCTGTAAAAAGTTCAAAATTGTTGGTATTTTCCATTGAATTAGTGCAAACTTTTTTTTTCTTTTCTTTTTCTTTTTTTTTAAGGAGAAGGTTCTAGGAACACATAGTCTTTCAGCAGAAGCCAAAAAAAGGATTTTTAAAAAAAGCATGGAGCAACTAGCTTTATGAAAATTGACTCATAAAGGTAGTTATATCAGCCAAGGAAGATGTGAAGGTTAAGTCAAAGGGAGTCAGAGAACAGGAAGGAGTGGAAATTGTTTAGGAGTATCCGTGTAACACAAGGTAGGCAAAAAGTATTGAAGTGCAGGCCTTTGCAAAGGCCAAGATCTTCTAAAAAGATTTTAGAAGATCCCTTGGAGTAAAGGATAGGTACAGAAAAATTATAAATATTAACTTACCTTTCCCGGCACTTAAAAAAAGATTTTATGTTATCTTTGCATAGTACATGTCATAACCAGCAAACATTTTTACTGTTAGAATACACATCAGCTTAGATTCCAGAAACGAACAATTATACTGGTAAGTGAATTAATAGTGAATATGTTAACAGTTTTGTAGCCTCAAGCAATTTAATGAATTACAAGAATTAGAAATATTCTACCAATCGGGCTGATTCTACCAGCAGGATCGTTTATCACTGTCTAGGCATGCCTGGTGGTGTCAGATGCGTCATCTGTTAGGTACTTGGGATGTAACTCCAAGCCATTATTGCAGATTTGAAAAAGATTTGTCATAAACCACACTTCCAGTAAAGCCATAAAGAATCCAATTCATTGGCCTGTGACCTTACTCTCCTGAGTGCTGCCAAGCTTTCCATAAATCTACTTGAGAGTAAGGTGTGAGTGAACATGAAGGCTGTCAGAATTGCACTTTGTCCTTTACAATGGTTTGAGAACTTCACAGCTTCATGAAAATAGCCGTCAACTTTTGACTCATAAAGCTTAAATAGCATTTACAAATCATCACAAATGCGTACCCCTTTGGATAACGTACACTGGGGGTTTGTTCCTGAGGCTATCATTTTGCTCAAGTTTATCATGTGCCACTTGGACTTGCGAATTCTTGATATGAGGCTCTTGCATTTTACGAGACAGCTTTTAAGGAAAGATAAAACTTCAGGTGTTATATTAGTAGCACAATCATGAGTGAAAATGAAATGTGGTCTAAAATTCTCATCAAAATGAAACGTGGAATATCGCTGATACTCTTTTAGTCTTTTACTGTTATCTGGAATGAAAAACAAGCTCATAAGCCATGGCAATAACATGCTAAGGCTGCATTTTGCCAAGCAGAGGACATGCTCTTTATTAGTAAATGACACTGTGAAAATAGATTTTCTTAAGAAAAAAGCTAAACACAGTTTAGTAAATTTAATGACAAGACAATTCATACTTACAGTATCAGTATCAGTAATCTGTCAGTAATATCCGTAACATAACATGTTGTTTAATAATTGATTCTATTACACCGATTATTTGATTCAGTTTAGCTGACTAACATCCTTACCAAGTCTTTCTCAAACTTTTATTTTAAAAGACGGTAATAGACACATTGAAGGCACACAGATCTTTAAAAATTCTATTTTTGGAAAACTCTCCCTGCACACGTAAGCATGCCAGAGCAGTACCACGAGAGTTTTACACATCATATGTGTTAAATTGACCTGGATGTATCCAAACCGGATCTCGCTCATTTTGTGCAATGCAATACTCGGTTTCTGTTCAGCAAGTCTTACCAACCGCTGCACTTCAGAACAACGCAGTGGCATAAGGAACGCAGACAGCGCAGAGTTACTGAAATTAAATTTCTGCACCTTCATTTTTTATAAATCTTGCTCTATACTAGCCTTATTTGTATCCATTTTAAATAGAAGATACATTTAGGAGGTTTGAGTATTTTTATGATCATTACAGCACAAGATTTTCAGGCAGTATTACATTTCTAAGAACATTGGTATTTTACAAAAAATCAGCACAATGAGTTTGTTGTTAGATTCTAGTGTAAAATTACGCAGCTTTCAGAAGTCACTGGAGACGTGTGTGTTTGCACCAGCTGGGCTAATTGGCTATTTCTGAGTAATACAGAATGTTTCCAAGTTTGGATGCAAGGCAGGTGTCATTCTTGTCCATGAAATGCCCCAAATGGTGTTTCCTGAAGCTTAATGAGGATCTTAATAAAGATTCTAAATATATTACTATTATATGGTACAGGAATGTCTTAGAAACTGTTCTGCAAGTATCATGATTACAGATCCATGTTACTGAAAATACGTGTAAAAAGCACAAACTCTGTGAGCTTATTTTGTAAAACATAATTGTCTGGTTTGCTATTCAGATTACTCTGTCCTAGTGAAAGTTCCCAGTCCTACAGCTGCCTCCTGGATTCGGAACAGTTTCTGCATGCAGCTGCTGCTGAATCAGAACCCGTAGGCTTTACATTCATATCCATTTTTTTTAGAAAGGACATTAAAGTCCATCTTTTCTTCACTGTAATCCATACGAACGGTTTAAAACCTTCCTAAAAAGCTGAAGTTGTGTTGGCTCAGAGAGGCCTTAGGAGCCTGCAGGATGGCAATGACTGCGTGTTACTGCAGTCTGAAGAATTAGCTTTAATTGGAACCCACAGGTGGTTCTCCATACTGATGACGCTTGGCAGGGGCAGCTTCTATCTGCCCCCAGTGCAGGGTGACGGGCCTGACGCCCACACACCGAGACGTAGGGGCCGCAGAGGCGTTCCTGTGTGCCGCCACCGCCTGCCTGAAACACAGCCCACTCGCGTTACACAGAGCCGGCTGCAAACGAGCTCCGTATGTTCCAGAGAAACTCAACATAGTTCCCTCTCTTTCATGAGCAACTTATGCTAGGACCTGATGATCCGTGAAAGTGAGTGGAAATCTGTCATTAATTCTCAGAAGCTTTGCATCGGCCCCTTTAAATGGGCTAAATTTGGAGAACACTTACCGTACCACTCATCAACCCAGGCAAAAGCCTGCCGGTGACCGATCAGTAGTATATCTCTGACCACCTGCAAGACAAGGAAAAGGTTAAATACCCCTGCAACGACAAATCAGTTTACAAAAGTAAAGCCACTGGCTTTCAACATGATTTAAAGTGGAAAATATTCTGACAGTTTTGTGTCTAAAAAGACAGGCCCTAGAGAGTCAAGACTACTGGCTCGTAGTCCAACTGCCCACTTGAAGCAGGTCTGTTGCCAGCACCGGATCATGTTACTGTGGTTTCGACCAGCATGGGAAGTTCATACATTTGCCATAATATTGCAAATATTATTGATAGATTTTCGCAAACAAGACACCTGAGCAGCTCCAGGCTTTTATATTCAGAGGGGTGAACTCTATGGCTCTGCTCCAGATCTTTTGGACCTTAAGACAGGTCTGAAAGCAGATTCGGCTGAGCTCCACAGCTGCCACACAACACAGTTACGTCCCTGTGCAGGGCAGTACCCAAGTTCTGTTTATGCGAAGGATAAGAAACAGCTCCCGTTGCACTCACCTTGTGCACAAATTGCTCTACTCTGGTTTGAAGTCCCCAGACTTCAAATTTCACAGTCACAAGTTTGTAGGAACACATAATTGGCTGATGGGTGTCTCTCCAGCCTTCTTTTAATTGGCCTCTCCCGGTCTTCAGTGACTTGAAGTATTTAGGATCCTGCAAAACAAAGAAAACGTACTAGGAAATGCAGGAGAGGAAATCCCGTTTGTCAGTTTGATAAAGTAGATGTTTTGGTAAGACACAGAAAATGCCAATAAACATTATGAAAAAGTAATACAAAATTGACTTAAACAAGCAATAGGATGTACTAAAATGCAACCCTGTCTTTCATGCAGGAGCCAGTGAATTGACGGCAGCATATCCGTGGAGATGCCTTGACCATCGTGTCTTCTAGGGCACTGTCTGCTACAGGAAAATACGTTACTGCAAGTCATTCCAATACACCGCACTCTAAGTGTGATGTATGGCATTAGGAAAAAAAGAAAGTTGCTTCTTCAGAACTTGCTTTTCCATCACCCCTTGGTGTGACTTACTGGTGCTTTCTACCCGTGCCTGTCTTCCTGAAATCGCGTCCAGTTGGAGCTCTGAGCCATCAACACTGATGTGACCCTGAGAATGCTCTTTTACATTTCAAGTGGCCCTGGAGATAAGTAGGAAACTCCTCCAAGTCAGCCACCTCTGGTTACAACTGAGTTCTGGGCAAAACGCTGACTAAATTCAACTCTATCATCTCTCTTTTAGAAACTGGAAAATCAAACAAATGCTGACTAAATTCAACTCTCTCTCTCTTTTAGAAACTGGAAAATCAAACAAATTGGTGTTGAAATTACAAGAGCAAGACCAAAAAACCAGTGAGGGCATTAGTTTATCTTTAAAGTTTACTTTTATCTGTACGAGATACAGTTTTATCTGTCCGAGTGTTATTTTCCATATTGGTATAATTCCATTTCACCTTATGTCCAGTGCTGCTAATTACACCTTGCAAATAGAAATAATTTACAGTTAAGCACTGATTTTCAAAACTTGAAAATTAATGTAGTTTCAGTAAATTCATAGTGGAGCTTCCAAAATCAGTCCTCAAGAATAACAACAAGTGCTCCTCTGTGTTACCTTCCCCAAAGCTGAGATCTGGGAAGATCTTTTAAATACATCCTTTATTATAAAAGCAGATAAACTTGTATTTAAGTATGTGCTTAAATTATGCGCTAAATGGAAGACAATCAGGAGAAAACAATGAAAAAAATGAATTGGTAAGACTCCTCTGATGTTAATTTTCTTTCATTCAGTGTGAGATTATGTGTCACTCAGCATTCCTTTTACCTAGTGTTTAGTTATCTCCGCACTTGGCTTCTGATTTCATCCAAAATCTGAAGCTCTGTCGTTAAAGCTTCTTTACTTTAGCTCTAATGAGGTGATAGCCTTCCCTCTCTGTGAAAGTCATTGCTTTTATTGCTGACATATTATTTTCTAAATAGAAACTTTAAGCTCGCAGCATAATAAGGTTTCAATGTTAAATCACCATAAAAAACTACTCAGCATCATCATTTATCAGAGCAACACACCACCGTGTATCACAGCTCAGAGTCACATGCTCTTGCCAATTTTCTCACTCAGTAAAGCTTGACCTCAGATTGATCTAGACATTTTCTGGTTGAAAGAGTTATTTTAAAACTTATCATTGCCTGAAGCAATGAATATAATAATAATATTAATAAAAAGTCAAAAGGGAAGAACTGAGACGTAATATTCAGAAAGACATGAAATTCCTAAAGAGGAAAATCAAAGGAAAACGGTTTCACGTAAGGAAGCATCTGCTGGTTTTTACATACACATACGGTACTGGGTGATGGAGCCAGTGTCTTGAGTAAGCATTTCAGATACCTACTTTAATCATCCTGAGTGTCACACTTTATAGCGCTTCAGCAATAACCTGATCTCTAATGGAAAAACTTCAATGCAGTCCTAAGGGAGCTAATGGAATGAATTTGAGCCAGTATCAAGCATACAGAATTTATAAATAAAAATTAAGTAATGAACAGCTACCCTGCATGACTGCTCAGCCACGCATAAAACCTGTGTCTCGTTCCAAACCCAAGAACCCTCTGCCTGCTGTGAAAGCGGTGTTTTGCTTTTTTTGTTTGTTTTGAAGTTATTCCAACAGACAAGGGAATTCGTAGTAGAAACTGCTCTTAAACTGGTGGCCCCCAAACAATCCACCTACTGGATGGCAGTTCATCCACGGCACCACTCCCAGTTGCAAACTCCATTAACAGCGCCCAGAGATGGCACCTTCGCTTCCGTTGGTCACGCCCGTTTTTCCTGAAGGACGTGATGTTTAGTCAGAAATTGGCTGGACAGTTTCAAGCAGAGAGCCAGGCAATGACCGACAGTATTGGCAACTTATATCTAATAGCTTTTACAGAGATTCCTGCCTTTCTGAAGCCATTAACATATTGATACTATAAAACTGTAGAGTGGTGAATGGAGGCCAGGAAACAGAAAGAAAGAAGAGCGCTGTATGAAAGATCAGGATGTTAAAGATTTTACTGAGTGCTTGATCAAGCGAGCAAAAACTCCAAGACTGTGCATAAGCCGAGCAGTGGGATGTACGATGGACAGCAATATTAAGCAAACTGAACTTGAGAGTTTAACCTCTGGGCCACCAATTCAAAGGGCGTGAGCGCTTCACAGAAGTGAGACACTGTTCTAAGTAAAATTAACATCACTGGGCTTTTTACCCAGATGCTAAAAAATTAGGTGTTAAAAAAAGTCTTGGACTATTTTAGGGAGAAACCAATTCTGTCGTAGCAGTTACTTGTGCTGTGGTTCATATGAGAAAGTATGTAGTGGAAGAATCTCTGTATTTATCTCTATATTTTGCATGTATTTACACCTTTCCTTGGGCTCTGCTATTGGCCTGTGCCACTGGGAGCACAGCACACCACGCCAGGAGGACCTTGGGCCTGACCAGGGCTGCTCATTTTTTGCTCTTCAGTGTCTGATCCAAAGCCCATGGAAATTAATGAGAACTTTGATGTGAAAGCCACAATCCAGAAAGATTTTATGTGCCTAACTCATGGCTTCAAATTGCCAGATAAAGATTCACAGCCTCGAATCCTTTCTGCAATTAGGCACAAAAATGAAGCAGGGATCATAATTTCCTATTAAATGCAAGTAGAACTACTATTAGTACACAGCACTGCTTCTCCTCCTGACTCTCATGCTGCAGCTCACTGATTAGGTTAGTCAGACAGAACAAATTAGACTCCTGTGCCATGCTCACATCTCCCCAGGTTGCAGGAGGAAGCGCTGAGCGTCTGCCTGTGCCGGGTCACGGCCGTTCCGTCTCCTCCTGCGAAAGGTTTGGCGATTTGCAAACCATGTACCCGGGGCACCAAGCTGGAGAGAAGCAGCAGATGCCCAAGGCAGGAATCGTGGTGTGTGTGTTTGAAACACTTCTGGCAGTCACGAGAAAGGGCCGGCTGATCTTCGGGCTGACTCCATTCTTACGTTATTGTTTAGATCATTAATTCTTGTGTGCCTTGTTTTTGCTTTTAGCCACTCATGCCTTCCTTCCTAGAGAAGCCATTCTCCAAAGAATACTGTGTCCGTTCACTATTTTCCCCTTAATTTATCTACTGGCAAAATCCTCAGTCTGTTTTAAATGTAATGGCATAGCTAAAATCTTTTTGTTTAAATAACCTTCTTGTCCTTTTATCAGACACAATTTATTAGGAAAGCCCATCTGGCAAATCCTTTTGCTGCAAAGGAGCAAAACCTACTCTGTATTTGCAATACATTATTGCCAGGTGCAGAGCGATTTAAAAATAGCACTTCTGCTAATATAGCAGAAACATCGTTACCCACGAGCTGGGCGTATTCGAGAATAAAATGTAACATTACAATACAATAAAATAAGAGCCATATGGATGCGATGGATATGGTTTCAAACATAGCACTCTCCCAGTTATGTCCCAGCTCAACATGCTTCGTGTTGGAGAATCCCTTATTTAGCATTTAGCATTTATTTCTTAGCCTTCCTCACGGACTGCCGACGTCACGGGCATCAAATGTGGAACTGCAACCCCCTTTCCAGGAGGCAAACAGCAACATGTTGGCAATACAGCCCTGGCTTGTTGCAATGCCTTTTCACATTTAATTCTGAAACGTTTTTTACTTAAATACTGGAATACATCCATTATTTACAGAAAACTTCCAGCTCCGAATGGGCTATTTTCCCTTAGCTTTGCCATGGTATCAGGCAGGACTGGAGGATACCATGCGACTCTGCAGCTGGCAACACCTCCTTTGTGTGGGAGCGGGAACATGGAACATTGTGTTAGCCTGGTCACCGGTCTGGCTCAAAAATTACTTGCTGCTTGTACCATCATTTTAGGCTGGAAAAAGACCCTCGAGCTGAATGGGCTCTCCAGGGTGAGGATGCACCATGCTTATGGCGTCCAGCCTTAGTCTCTTACTGGAAGGTACTCAGATGTCCCCAAAACAGATTCTTCCTTCCTTCCATCCTTCCTTTTAATGCATGGATTCGTTTTTTCAGACTCCTATTGCAATATATTCCACCACCGTGCTTTTAAAGGGCAGTAAATTTTTCCCCCTTTAAGCTGATGACCATTTTGTTTGATCTTGGATTTCAGAACCAATCCTTCATAGTTTTAATATGTGTAATCTGGCATTTCACCATCAGCTGTAGTTGCTAGGTTTTGGATTTTATATAGCTAGGGCTCTGGAAAGATTTGTTGATGTAAAGATGCTACTATGGACATTTATGTGGAAGAAATTTTTTTAAGACTTTTTTTTTTTTCTCCTCTATTTGAATTTCCATTAAAATGTATTTTCTGGAAGAGCCAGCTAAATACTTAAGAACTGCAAATATTGGGCCAGTCCTGAGGTGTTCAAATATGATAATCCACCCAGCCTTTATGTAAGCTCACAAGTGAAGACAGTCAGGAAAAGGAAAGTTTCATCTGTTTTTGCTGTGCCCGGTACTGAGCTACTGGGCTGACGTTGCACACGCTCACTGCAGGGGCACGGCAGCTGTATAATTTCAACTATAATTTTCTGGCTCTGTAATGTGATAGAAGTTTTGTTATGCTGAAAGCACCTGGACAGTAGTAAGCTGGACCTGTTACAGTGCAACTGTGTAAAAGCAAAAAAAGCCGGCAATTGAAGAAGAAAACTGCAGCAGCTGTACAAAATCTTTGTTTGGAGGTAGCTTAAAAAGTTTATTCCATTTGTCCGAGTCTCCACTGCTTTGTCATCAACAGGAAATGAAACTGTTAATTTTGAGAATCTGAATATGTTCACAAAGAACATTTTGCTCAGTAGCTTGCATGTACAGTAAATGTTTCATTTCAGTGAATGATTCACTTGAGGCCCTCGGTCTTCAGCATAGCTCGGTTTTATTCTTTTCTATAATTCAGATAAATATATACGTCTATATGGGGAATACATGATGGCTGGTGATACATATTCATCGATGGTAAAGTCACAAGGAAATGACTTTACAAAACATAAAACTACTCGTACCTGTAGGCTTGTACATTCCTTATACAGAAATATAAAATTCTGTATTCAATGTAATATGTGCATTCAGATTTGGGAACGTTTGTGACTCTTTATAGAAAATGAGGCAAATCTGTTAGCTTGGATCTAGATTTAAACTTTCTCAAATTGGAACCTCACATTTAAACTTCTCAAAAGTTTAAGGACTTTCAAGTCCAAGTTTGTAAAAAACCAGCTTTATTTAAGATGCGGCAGCACTGCTGAGTATTCTGGTGGCTACTTCACAATGAAGTTTGTGGATGGACACTGAGCTAAAATTAAATCATCTGCTTCAGGATACCCAGAATTGCTGCAGTTATTCCGCTGTCCTTCTACAAGGACAACTCTTTTGACAACAGAAATCAGTATACCTTCACAGAAGACAGAATTGGACTTGTGCATGTGTCTGTAACAGCTAACAAAACTGTCTCCTGATTCACTATTTACTTGGTGATTTAAATATACTCTCAGATAAGCCCTCCAGCCTTAAGGGAGTTCAAACTGCTTGGATGATTCTGGCCAAGAGATCGTTCAGAATTATTAGCATCAAATGTTCCTGAATGAAACAGCGGCTCTCTCGTAGCCTCCAGCTAACTGCTTTTTTTTTTTTTCACTTCTCAATTTTAGTTAATATTTAGAAGAAAAAGCAGACATGCACAAAGTTGAATTCAATCATTTTCCCTTCAACTGGCGTGACATTTTCATGGAACGCTTCCTCCTTCATCAGCATCAGCACAAGCCAACATGAGCGGTGCAATTCAAATAGAATATTACACATACGAAGATGTTTTGTACATTTTGTCTTTTTATACCTGAATCATTACTATGGAAGTGGCAATGGAGGGAGGAATACAGATCTGTTTATGAGATTCACGTGAGGATGACTGCAAAATAGTTTTATAGATGTAGGTGCTGGGAAGCAGAGAACAGTTGCTTCTTTGGCTCATGCTGTGCCTCATGCTTGGGGATCTCCTGAACCCTCCTGTGGTAACTGCAGGATTATTATGGCTGTTGACGATCTCGGTGTAATACTGCTCATCTGTTTATATAAATGAGAAAAACACCACCAAAGCTGCTGCGGTCCTTTCTGTTAAAATTGGTGAGTTATTTGCTGCACTAACTTAAGGAAAGGTCACAGTCAAATCGCAGAAAGGGGCTTTTGATACAGAGGGCTCTGAAAAACTTACGCTAGTGACCCAAACAGCTCACGAGAGATAACCGAAAGCTTTAAAGTTAAAAATACCAGAAATCACAAATATTAGCTTAACAGCAACTCTGCAATTGGTGCTGTCTGATCGTATCAGAAATCACCCGTCTACAAGCGGACTTGTCAGCACTAACTAAGACCAAGCACTTGAGGTAGCGTGTGAAAGGTTTAAATTTCTGAAGCTACCTCTCTAATATACAGTAACGCAACTAAATACTGAAATCTGCTGTTAAACACTGAACTGTATTTTTAACTGAAGAGGGATGTGCTTTCATCAGGATATAAATGAACTATAAAGCTCATTTCTAGAAGCTGCTAAGTATGCTGACCCTGACACAGAACTTGCTTAATTTTAAGCAGGGAAAAGATCCACAGAAAGGAAGAGATTACTAAGATGCCTGAAGTTAAAATCATTCTCATTGGCCTTTCTGGATAGGAGACAGAACACTTATCCTGTGGGATCTAATGCTTAAATCCTGAGGATTGCACTTATAATCTTTAAACTTAGTATCAATGCAGATTACATGACCTAAATGCAGCCAAATTGTCGATTTAGTGTAACTAAAATACCTTTCAGAGGCTTACAGTAAATATTTTTTAATTATATCTGAAACTGTTGTTTGGAAAACATAGACCATTTCTTATTTACATTGAGTTACTTCTTTATGCTGTGCTGACTGAAAACAGATGGATATTACAGTTATAAACATTAAAAATCTTTTCATAGCCCCTAAATTATTTAAGAGGCGTCATCAGAAATGGGAATTTGGCTTCATGTTCATCATATGGTAGCATAAAATCCCCACACCTGTAAACTTTGGAAGATACTGAATTCAGCTATTATTAATTCACCATCAATTACAGTACAAATACAGTACGTAACACTTGCAGTTAAATGCTAAGGTGTTCTTCCTATTTTGCATTAATTTGGTAGCCAACATAAAAATCATCCATCAGTACAGAAAAAAACAACAGATGCTGGGCTATATTTGTTGTTTAAACCCATATAAAATTACATTTTGCTTGGAGTCACGTCTCTAGATTTGTCTCTGAAATTCTCTTCTCACTTAACATGAGTCTGGTTTTCTTTATCATGAGATTAACCACAGGGAAATTACACTTAATAGTCGGCTATTAAAAATGGGAAGGAAAGCTGAAAAGCTGGATGTTACCTTCATGTTTGCAATTTCTGGAAGTGCACCCACCGAGTTCAAAAATCTGACGTGATTACTTTAAAACAGAGGCAAATGCTGACCCGTTCAATAGCAGCAGTCATTCCAAATTGGATCCAGAAGATCGTGGTGTTCAGATAAGATGATGGGACTAATAAGCTGTTTCATGAGGTGTTATATAATTTTCGGTACTAAACAGATGGGTTTCATTATTGAAGGAAACTAATAAAATCACATTTCATTCTACTGTAGACCCAGTTTTGTTTTATGACCCTTACATAAAATTTGAAAAAGGATCTATAAATGGAAGATAGCAAGTACCTGACTTTTTTAGTCTGAAAATCATGTCTCCTATGGTATAGAAATATATTCATTGGCAAGTCTTCATTTTGTATCCTAAAAATAAATATGTAGTCTCATTTTGTATAGTCAAACAGCTGCCATACTCTTTGCCAGCTCCGAATATATCCTTGGCTCCAGAGGCAAACCATATCTCCAAAATTAAAAGTGAGCATAGATCTGGTCATTCCTCTCTAGCTACTTGTGAAGCGTCATTTTTCAAATCCAAGGTTAAAACATTGAGACCTCGTCTCTGTTTGCACGGTGGTTGCTGATTTCAAACAGTGAATTGCATTGACCTAAAAACCCCACGCTCTTCAGAGACGTGCTCTATCAAATATACATGGGAGCGATCTCCAAGGGAATTTGAAGAGAGCGAGTGTGCCTGCTGCCATTGATGCTTTCTGGCAGATTGACTGCAGTTATGTCGCACGCTTCAGTCCCTCTTGCTCTTGTGTCACAGTCGCCCCTGAGCAACTGTGCATTAACCCTGCTCTCGCTGCGGCGTTTCTGTCCTTTGCCTGGGCTTCCACACTTCGCCTGACTTATTAGCCAGGGCAGGATGCAAATAAGGACAACAGCAACGTTTCAAACTGCTCAGATGTGCAAGCACTTCACTGAGCTTCATGATTCAAAGAAAAGTCCTGTTCTGCTTTGAATGAATTCAGCTGAATATCAAAGGTCTGGCACAGGGTATGTTCTGAGGAGAGTAAGAAAGCATTTCAAAAGGTAGGAGGAATCATCTGCAAAAGAAACTGTCAGGCAACCTAGACACAGAGGTTGCTATCTGCTTCTCCCCTAAGCAAAAGCTTTTTAAATACTACTGACCAGCAAGATTTCATACAAAAATAGAATCTTTTTGACTCGTATCAAGGCTTTCCTGCAGGCTTTTACAGTCCCTTCTCCACCGTTTCACAATCAAGTTGTCTCTTACCTCTGATTCTTTGTAATAGCGCTCAGGAATTTCATCGCTGGCAATATCAATAAAGCAGACTTCTCGCTCCAGATCTTTAGCTTCTTTGTCAAAAATCTGCAAGAGTGAAAGAAAATCAACACTGTAATAGAACAACACCCTTAAAAAATCCACCTGGAATAATAGTTACAAGCCATTTCAATGACTTGTGCAACAGCATGTATTTTAGGCTTGTGCCTGAACAGCTTCTGCTGTAAGATACTGAAGTTTTTTGCAGGGACACAGGCACATTCTGTAGCCTGCTGCAGACATCAAAGGGAAGAAAATGGGTGTTCTCAAGATCACGCATAACACAAGGTGTTCCTACGAAAGATTAACATAAGCTTGAATGAATTATGCCACAGATTTTTTTGGGAACAATCTACTGTGTCAGATCAAGAGACACCGGACTGTTGGATATAACACATCGTGCTCAGCACTTCCCGCTCACGCTGCCGTTCCTCCTCGCACGTTTTGGAAAGGAGACCTGGGTCACAAACAGTGAAGTCAACAACTAGGATTGGTTTTACTGTGTTCTCTAATCTTTGGACTAGATTCCATCGCTGTGTAAAAAACCTGACCTTCTGGACCCCAGGTATTTCTAACCTTTTCACTCTGGGGACAGTAATGAAACGCAGGTGCTTTGTGTGAACTAGTCAGTCTAGGCTGCTGTTATACCAAGAATGAAAATTTTGGTTGACCTACCCTCAGTGGAAGCTGGAAACTTCCACTATCCATGTGTGCACACACAGAGCTTGTTTTCATTTTAATCCTTTAGGACCTGGTTTTGAACACCAAGTCCCTCCTTCTATGCGAGGCAAACGATGGGTGTATTTTGAAAATGCATCTGCATTTTGCACCTGCAGTGTAGCAGCGCAGTGTCCTTCTGGGCCCATGTCTGTAATTTCATTATTTAGGCATCTTAGTGACCCATGTGACGCATGCTATGCCTGCAATGAATTTCTACTCGTGATTCTGGGACTTGGAAACAGTGACTAGTTAAAAGGCTCCCACGAATTAGTGCCATAAAATTCAGGGAAGTTGTGCATATGCTGTCAAGATCAGTAACAAGCTAACGATGTGTTTTTTCCTTTGGGGCACAATGTTCTATAGCTAACGTTTCCAGGAAGTATAAATATTTGTTTTCTTTTTTTTTTTTTTTAATAAATGCAGTGAACGCTCTGGTAATTTAATTTCATTGAATCCTAGAAGAACAGTTAAAAATATAAAATGCCAGCAAGTCCTCAGTACCAAGAAGGCTACTTTACTATTTCTGAAAGAAATGCGGCTGCCCATTTAAAGCATCCTACGCGAGCAAAGGACTACAACGAACAAGCACACCAGCGGGTAAGAAGAACATTGCTCAGGAATCGTAATTCCAATAACTCAAAAGCTGAAGTTTGCAATTTTAACTTGTCTTGGTAGTTAACAGGACCGGAATAAAATAGGCAACACTGAACACTAACTGAACTGGATATAAAATGTTAACGTGTCCAAAACTGCAGAAGAACAGAAAAAAGGGAAACTGCAGTCTGGTTTTATTTGCGTACTTATTTTCCTTCTCCAATCCTTTTTTTTTTCAAAAAATTATGTCAATTATTTGGACAAGTTTGAGCTGACAAGTCTTTCCCCTCTAGGGCTCTTTCTTAGAATCGGGGTACATTTTTTGAAATAACTACTATGTTTTAGGAATATAATACAAGTCACTTTTTAAAGGCTTCCTCGTTTGCTTTTTCCTAAACAAATTCAGATACACAGAGCAGTCCCCTGATGAAATCAGTTGGAACTATTTCTGGAACTAGATGCATTTCACCATAATCTCTACGCTTTAAATAAAATAATGGAGATTTTTTTAAAATGCATATTACCAGGTCAGCTGAGGCTCTGAATCAGAATTTGGTGTAAGTACAAGCCTAATAAATTTAAGAACATGCCAATCTCTGCACATTTGCAAGGACCTAACTTGGGACTATTACCCAGTATCTTATCTGAAGCAACGTCCCCTGCTCTGTCACAGGCTTGACCCACATATTGCACCTCTAAATAAGACAGTTTTAAACTCTTCTCTCTTTCAAACGCTCTGACAGAAGTGGGGACAACAGATGCCTTTGCCAATCTGTCAAAACCAGGAGGAATTTTTCAACCATTTCAACTACCCCTTATTTGCTGCGGAGGCTGTCTCTGACCGTTTTTCCTCCATTCCAAAAGTTTGCTGAATGACATTCTCGCTTCCCTTTGCTGGCAGAAGTTGTTGCCTAATCGTTTATGCTTCTCCCCTTCCTTAGATTGTCCTCACAAGATCTGCAGATAGAGACTTGATCTTCTCATTCTATCAGCAGTAGAAAATAAGAAATCATTAGAGAACAAGACTGATCTCTTTCTTAGCTCTAACTCTCTTATTGCCTCTCCTAGCCACATAATCTGGGATGGTCTTAAAATCTGCGGGGAGGGTGGGTTTATCGTGTTTGTGATCACAAAGACTAGAGAAATTTGAAAGTTTTAAAGAAAGAGATTAAAGGCCACGAAAAGAAGCATAAGGCTCCCAATCTGTGCAACTGTATTTGCAAATGTGCAGAAAATGAATGGTGAGAACAATCTGTATCCTTAAGGAGATGATGTAGAAAGACAGAAGATTAAATATTATATTGCAAAGAACTGGACAGGCTTTACTTTTGGAAGCCACGTAATTAATTGAGATTGGAATACATGATCAAAACACTCAGGCTGAAGTGTCCTGTTACTGGGGTCTTCAGGTTTGGTGGGGGTGGGGTGTGCGACAGCTTTTTCACAACATTTATACACTTCCACTTTTTAAGAGGAATGAAAACTCCCAATTGTTTAGACTAATACAGCCACAAAACGACCAAAAGTGGACGAAAGGTTTTAACTGGGTGATCTTTACAGTTGTCAGTAGTTTCTTTTGGGGAAAATTTTAAAAAAACCTGAACAACTGGCAGATGATTCTAGTACCTCAGGAAAGAAAGATCATACGGGACACTGCAGAAATAAAAGTGCTGGCGTATTTAAATTTCTTTCCTTTGTTTTCCTCATGACCTACAATGACATATCCCAGCACACACTTTGCCCGTGACTTCTGTTTTCCTTGTAGCCAAAGCCAGAACAGAAAGTCAGGTATGAGATGACAGTAAATCAACAGCAGATTCAATACCTTTTTTCTACAAGCTCCTTTCCCATTTTTCTTCTTTTTCTTTTATCTTCAGGCTAAGTTGCTGGCTTCAGCCTCGTTCAGAAGTAGCTAATCCAAAATTTAACTTTTCTGGCCACCCAGCCCGGCTAACCTGGTTTGGATATAAATAGTATAAAGCCAGACTCTGCTGAATCCATTGATTACATTCACGCTGGCAAACTCCTCACTCATCTGCACGACCGGGACTCCGAGCGCCAAGTCTGTGCTTCTTTGGCTTGGCTTTCTTTCATAATATATGATTCCCTCTTGTGATGTTTTTTTCTATCATCAAGAGCAAAGAAGGTATTCAAGGGATTACCAGCTGGAAAGGTGTTCAACTCTGTCTTTACTACAAAATGGGGGGGGTTTTACCAGCCTAGACACAAGAAGTTTGTGGTCAGAAGACTGTAAGAAGGCAGCTAATTCACACTTTAAACATTAATACATATAGGACATAAAATTCCCTGTGGAAACAGTCAAATAACGGGTCAACTTAAAAATAAAGACAAGTTGTTAAAGTGATAAGGCAACCTATATAGAAAATTTAGTACTATAAACAAACAAATTTGAAAATGATTGTGGTTTTTTTCTAGGAGCTATTTTTTCCATCTCTCGTGAAGCTTTGGGTGAGAGAATGTTTCTGTATTTTTTGTACTTGTTAGGTTAGATCTAGATAGTCAGCCATTGCTGAGAAATGCAGCTGGGGCAGAGAAATGAAACAGATAAGAGCTAAAAGATTTTTTTTTCCAAAAAGGCAGAGCCCTCCTAAATTAATTACAGGCAGGTAATATGGTAGCAACACGATTATTATCCCATATGCTCAGTAATGAGACACCTGTGCCTATCTACAAACACAAAAATGGAAAATAAACAGTATGCAGCTAGAAGAGCCCCCAAGCTTAAATGTATATATCCAACATATATGCTTCTTTTTTTTTTTTTCTTAAATTCAAACACTGATATTTCACTGAAGCTTTTGGGTTTTCTCTGTATTTTCTCCCATCCCTGAAATGTAGTTTAGCTATGCAACTTGCAGGTATTGAGCACTTTCTGTCACATGTATCCATCATTTGTAAGATGGTTTAAATCTAGATTTCACAGTATGTGAAAGTTAGGTGTTATAATTGCAGTAAGGACTGCAAGAATATATATATTTTTTACCCCTATTAAAAAAGGTAAAATCTGGCACAAAATCTACTTTGCACCTTGAAATTCTAATCTCCTTAGACTGCCATCGGCACAACTACTGGCTATTCTCCAATTTATTATTACAGCATCCTTTAGCAGGTTGTGTCATCTGGTCTACTTTAACTCATTTTTATGAAGGAAAATTTGGTCTAAAATAAAAGAATACCGACTCAGAACTTGATCTATGGAATTTCATCCAGTGTGTAACTTCTCAGTAAATCACATTCCAACCTCAGTTACCCCCAAAGTCTGTTCATTTGCTTTTGAGATTTACTGGGGAAAGATTACAGGAATGGACCAATTTCAAACCTGTTCACTGGCTAAAAGTATTTATGTGAACACACAGAACTGGGAGCAATTCTTCCATGGAAAAAGAGTGACTCTCTCCCCGTGAGCAGTCGATCTGGCTTGCTGAATGGCGCGGGGGTATCACGGGCTGCCCCACAGGAGAAGAGGCAGTTACGTATTTATCTCTCTCTCGCTCCCTGCTCCTTTTTATCTCCAAGTCACGACTCCTCTATTATTCCATCTCTTCTAAAAGAACTCATTTAGATTTGTACTCTCCGAGCGGAGAGTATTTTTATGTGATTATGTCAAACTCGCTATTCTTCCAAGACCATAATAAGCTATCAATAATATTTACAGGGAATAGTGTTTTTGAAGGCACATCTATTTCCAATGCTAGATTAACTTCAGTAGTTTATTTAGAAAAATCAAAAAGTAGAGGCATAACCACATCACTTGTTCACACTCTGTCGGTATGGGCCTTATCTTATGTTCTGCCATAGCCATATGTGCTTAAGACATACTATTTGTAGCTATGTTCAGTAAAAAGAGAGCTCTTCATGCAGAAGGCATTTTAGGCTAACCTCTCCATTCGTTTGCCTGTATTTTCTGAGACTTGTTAGAGAGGAAAAGCTTCAGAAAAAATCTTTGCAAATTATATAGGAGACAGATAGCCAATACCATGATACAGAGTGCATCAAAAAAGTGGCCGTAGCTTTGATTTTGACACATTTTGCAGTGATGCTTAGCAATCGTTCAGACAATTTATAGAATGGTATCCTGTAGTGCGGTGAGGCAAAGCCAGGGTACAGTCGAATCTATTTCGGCTGAAATCAGTGTTTCATGGCACTTTCCTTAAATAGCAAATCTACATTTAATTTACATGTGCTATATTGGAGTTTGTTACAACCTAGCTCCATGTTACTAGGATAGGAGATAAAAATAGCGGGAAAAACCACCTTTTAAAGCAGCAAACCCAGAAATGGCTTTTCTTCTTAGCTAGTTATACCTAAAATTTATTTTACATTAGTCAAGTATTTCACACGCTAATGATGAAGCATGCAGAATGATCCGATGCTCTATACTTGGGTTTACATGTAGTGAATTTCCATTGACAAGTATAGGATTATTTTTACAAGCTGTACTTTTTTACTTTCCCCAGACGGTATCAGATGGTAAAAAAATCACTGCCCAAATATCAGCAGAAATTAATTCTGTGTCTAAAAACCAAAACAACAAAAAACAGTCAAACATAACGATCCTTCTGCAACAAATAAGAAAATCGAAATGTCTCTGTGATTCAGTGATCTGCTTGAACAGCGGCTGCTTTCACTTTACCTTCCCTCCACCCTCAGCTTCAGACTGCTTTTCAGAAATTTATACCAGAACTAGACTGTGGCATGCAAAAACAGACACCAAGATGTGTGTCTGTAATGTACGCTGAAATATTAAGACTAGAGATGGGAGAAAAGCACGAGCAGTACAGTGTTTCCAATAAAACTGGCCTTACGTGACATAAATACTGACCAATCAATAAACTGTTAAAATACAAGAGTATCTGCCCAAATAAAACCAGAGACTAACAAAGTCTGCTCATGAAAACCACAGACTAATCATTTACAAATAAGCAGCACCTGATACCACTCCTGCCCGTCATTTCTGACCATTTTATTAACTCAATACCACTAACAATTCTTGTATTTAACTTATGATTTTAATATTCAAAATATAGCCTTTGTGCTTCTATATCTGAATTCCCTAACTGCTAATTTTTCTGATGGGACCAGAAGTGTGCACGGAGTGATTAATGTGCACTTTTATATCCCGTCCATGCCCACTGAGGATGTTGTAGGCACCAGCACTTCCCTCTTCCCAGCAGTTCCCCTGCACCCTTGACTTACGCAAGAAGCAAAAGATGCAATTGGGAAGCAATATTTTCATGTACTCTAGAGTTACTACCTTGAGTGTCATTTACATTTTACAAAACATCCTAATTTTTAAAAATCCCGGTTTGTAATTTAAAATAAGAGCAAAATAAAAATGACATTTCTCTCTGAACTATAAAGCTTACTTTTAAAAAGACTCCTAAGAGGAACCACGGAATGGCCTGACTCATTGGTCTGGTTTCTAACATTATTAATGACGCTACAAAGCTGCAAGGTAGCAGTGACAATATTTGATGTACTAACACGTTCATCCAGCACTGATTCTGTTTTTCTAAGGACAGAGCTGCCATGTGAGAATGTAGATACAATATGGTAAAAAAGTGAGCTCCAGCACTAGAAATCCCAACTGGATGGATTTATGGCACTGCACTACTACCATCGACACAGTGCGTTATCTAACGGAAGGGGTTTATTGTCCATTGTTCTTTCTGGCAATTTTTTTATTTGTGCAAATCAAGTGCAAACTTTAATGGATCAGAACAACGGTGCTTTAAGGGCATTTAAAATAGGTTAAAATGATGACAGTGCCTAAGACATGAGAAAACCAAGTTCCAGAGCAGACACTGTCTTTCACTAGTTTCTTCTGACATGATGGGAAGAAAAATCAGAAGGACTTTTGCATCGAGATATACTGCAGTAATTACGCAGAATTTTACGAGACAATGCAACATGTTAAATAATTCTAACAGCATACCAGCGTGCTAAATGACAACAGGAACTCGGGAGCATTTATATTGCTTTCTTCCACTAATCAATGGAATTAGCTTTAGTATCCTTATATCTAATTATTGCTTGTCACAATCAATATCTACTTTATTAAATACCATGGAAATGCAGAATAGATCAGAGTTCAAAAATTTCAAAAAACCTGTATGATCTCAAAAAATATATGTAGAAATAGCTGAGTTAAAATTAGACAGGCATTATTACCCTCATTACTGTAATATTAATATTCATTCAGTATATTTTGCATGACAACTGCAAAATTTACAGATGTATTTTTTGGATTAATAAGTTCTTCATCAGCCAAGGTTTTTAGCTGTAATGAAGAAAAATACAATTATCTACGGACATCTATAGAAATGGATGCTATGTTTCCTATGGTCTGAAACGAAGGAGAAACACTTTTCCTAAAGTGAGGTTTAAGCCTGCCCGTTGGGTAATAGAAACAATATGGACTCTTAGTCCTAGTTCCAAGGTGATTGGTTTGACAGAAGTCTCGCATGGCTTAATCGCATCTCCCTGTATTTACCAACCTTCCAGCATTTCAGTGCTGAACCAGCCGCATCTGTGTCACTGGATTAATGTCACTGGATCAACAGCAAAATATGTGGATCTTCCATTGGCTTACTGTGCTCTCACGAGTGAAGAGCAGAGCTCTCGGAACTGCAGAATCATGGAAATTAGGGCTAGAGTGCAGCCCTCTAATTCACCTTCTATTTCTCCTTCTCAGTTAAAGTAAGGGCCAATTAAATCTGGCAATCTTGGTAAATAGTCGCCTAGCCTGTGACTCAGGTACCAAAATATAAAGCTTATATAATATTACCTCAGTAGCACTCTGGTAAAAATTACCTTTGAAGAGCTGGATTCAAGCAGAGAATAGATTCTTTGATTTAAACCATCTGAGTACTGTGCTTCTGTGTTACTTTAATCTTAAATTCAGTTGTTGGGTACTATGCAGGGCATGATTAATAGTATTTTAGCCACAAAGCTAACACACAATAAAAAATTGAAAATTCACTGATTAAATAGCTTCAGTTTTTCCTCTGTTAAGCATCAGTACAGAACGTGTTTTCTCAGTGCTGACATTATAATGTACCAGAAAACTATTCTGCACCTTCCCGAAACCAAAGGTGTGGGCTTGCTCTGAACTAAAGTGCTGCCAAAAAGCAGAAGTGAACATTAAAAAGTGCATGAATTACATAATGCTTATATAGTTGCTAAAGTAATAATTTTTTTTCCCCCCTCTCTGGCTCATCTGGCTTAGACCAGCAGTAACTGAAAGTTGCTGGTTTCTTGTGGCTCACACACGATCTCTGTCATGTTCCCATCAGGAAAGTGTCTGTATGCCAAAGGCATTCTTCAAAATTATACCTTGTTCTTTCACATGTAATTATTCTGCCATAAGCAGTGCAACAGCTGTCAGCCTTATTAACACGGAGGCCCAGAGCGGTTGGGGAAATGTACCTCCCACCTGGAGAACAGAACACTTTAACCTTACCAAGACTGCTAGATGGACACCCCTGGAAACTGAAAAGCTCTGCATCTCAGGCCTCTGAACTTCTGATTTACTGCCATCTTCTTTCTAAAAAACGAGCTTAAACCCTCCTTCATTAGGTCTCTGTATTACAGATCAATTTTCCAGACATTTTAAACTGTATTTCATGCCCGTAAGAAACTTCTTCCCCTAAGTCTGCAACAAATGACTAAAGCATACCCAAATAAAGCACAGAGAAACGGATTTGTATATTAATCCAAGGGCTGAATCTTTACACGCCTGGTTTTGTCAAACGTTATTCTTTTCTTGCAAGTTGTACGACTCTGCTTTGCTCCTGGTCAGGGTAACAGAAGCCCGACTGAGCTTCTATTCCTGAGCATCCCCCATCAGCAGCCTCTGCCTACTCACTCCCACTCTTCCTCTGAGAGAATTCTGCATAGTTAATTACCCTTTTCATCTCTAAGCTCTAACCCTGAGAACTTTTTAACTTTTGGGAAGTCATTTCCAAAAGCATCACCTCAATTGCCCACCCATTGTTCCCTTGAAGTTGTTTACTGAGATCTCTGACCATTGTTTAGTTTCCTGTTTGCTCTTCCTGACAGCTCCTTTGAATTCAAACCCTTTACTCAGAGCCAATAATGCGAAATAGATGAAGTGGAATGCAACTACACACACACAAATAAGTAAATTTTCCTTTGCTCTCCATAAATGTTCATCGGGACTAAACTGGCATGTGTAAATTATGTTGCATTTAGAGAAGTCACACGCAGAAGGTGAGATGCAGGAGGGAAGCTGTGTGCATCCTTCATCTCATGAGGCTCTAGAGGGAACTACTCGGCTCGCTGACAAGCTGCGGGCGAGCAGGACACCCAGGGAGGTGCAAAGATACAAAAGCCTGATCAGGCCTTTTTCCCAGGCTGAAACACCTACAACCCCTAGATGTGGACCACAGTTAACTAAAAGGATTAGAGAAAACTTTGCAACAGCCGTCATACTTACACTGTCATTGCTTCCTTTGTTGTCCTCATATTTTGTCTCTATGTGAATGGAGAATTTAGGCAAAAATGAGCACTGCAGCAAAAGAAAAACATGTCGCTCTGTCAGACACATTCAGTCCAACCTGTTGGTATCAGCTTTCAGATTTTTTTCAGATAACTTCAAGAAAGAGTAAATGTACACAGAACATAAGAGTGAAGGCTTTTATGATTCTGGAGAGATATAGAATACTGTAACAAAGGTATAAATAACTTAGTATAAGTACACTGGAATAACTAGATACAACAGTTTTCATGCACACTATGCATAAGAGTACAAATGTCCTGAATGTCTTATAAATTCAGTTCCCCAAGATCTCAGGAGCAACTAAATATTCGTCACCATACATTAGCCTATCCCCCATACAAAATAATCCAAGGACATTTCACTAGCTGCAGGTGCTAACAACAATCACAACAGTGCTTTGATGTGTGAGGGTTTTATTTTGATTTTCATTAAGAAATGAATTTTAGCATAATGTCCTGAAATTAAGATGGATTATGAGCTGCTGTGGAAACTCCCTTTTACTAAACCTACATCACTCTTTAGATAACAATTCAAGAAAATTAAGAATACATAAATATTTTTCTATTGAAGATATTTCTGTACGTAACATGGGCATAAAGTCATTTTTCTGTGTTTTGCTTAACTTAGTTGTCTGATCAAAATTAGAATTTATAATACTAGGCAACATAATTCCAGTGGAAAAAAATATTTCAAATATCTTTTCTTTAGCGTTTCACAGTTCTTCTTTCAAATCAACTTTTCAGATAGGCAGACAGAGTAGCTGTCTAAAACCCTACTAGTTCAGCATCATTAGTCATCAAGTCTTTTCTTGCGTTACCTGTCAGTTAAACTGAAGTGCCAGTTCCTTGTATGATGCATCACTAATACCCCGTGGCAAAGTGTCTTTGTAAAGACTATGACTATTTAATGTGCTGCACAGATTATACAATGAGGAGCTTATGATGCCTCAGTGTTCACGCTGCCGTTGGTCCAAGTTTGGACTTGATAAAATTCAGAGAGTTCTTCTAAGGGAGGGGCTGACGGCTACCAAAAGAGACGATTTAGAAGGCTGGGTGTAGTGCAACTCAACTGAAATGAGAAACCAGCTCCTTTGAGACTGCAGGAAATATATTCCTGATTCCATGGATATCACCCAACGAGTCATTGCTCAATCTTCTGATCACAGGCTATCTCGTATTCAATAAGCACATCTAGAAGCAACCCTGGTTGAAAGAATAAGTGAGAGAGTTTTGCCAGAGTCAGGTCTTGGTGCCACGGAAGGCTTCTGGTCAAACTGTCTTCCCCGTCACACAATGAAATCCTCCCACGTAACAAGCTGGTGCTGCAGATCGCACGGGCAGATCTTACAGATGTTTCGCCTTTTATTAAAGATTTCTGTGGAGTAGCACATTTCTGAGTTTTGATCCAATCTGAACCGTGACTCGCTCTCAGCTATGCAACTTCTTCATTGAGCGAGTATGTGGGAGGCAAAAAATAAAATAAAATACCAGCAGTGTGTGGAGCGCAGGATGGGGCAAGCTCAGTGAGGGATCTGCTAGCTCCTATTACCTATATTTTTTTGGCAATTAGACATTTCCTATGTATACATCTCAGGAAGTGCCAGCTGAAAATACACAATATTTATAAGCAGTCTGTCAGAACAAGGGATCTTTTAACACAAATTAGCACACAAAAAATTTTCTTCCAGATAATTCTCCCAACGGAGGTTTCACCATGTATCTCAGAATGTTGCTCCTATTCTGGCAGACATCCGAAGGCATCTGCAAACAAAAGCCTTGGCATACAGTTGGCACTACAGGGAAGAAAGTTGAGGGGGGGAAAAAAAAGCCAAGGTTTGTCATAAGATTCTAATTTCTATACCCAAAATTAACAAAAAGGTAAAAAGGATATCCTTGAACTATATTAATGTTAGCTGGAAGAGAAGATGAATAAACAGGCTTGATGAAAACAGTTCTATAGTCAAATGTTCCTAGAGTAAGAAAAGTTACAAATGTGATGTTACAAAAAAATAGGGAATGACCCAGGAGACACAGGGATGCCAGCATGTCCTAAAGCAACATTTGATATCACCCAGAGAATTTGTATTCAAACAGCATAAACCAACGTTCCAGCTGTTTTCTGTGTTTGCATGGGAACATGGAGCGTTGAAAAGTAAATTACTACTGGAGGCGGATTACGAAAAGCAGAATTAAAAAAAAAAGTATAACCTAATGACAGACACCTACTGCACAGTTTTTAGAGCATCTGAAAAATAGCTACATGGGTACTAGTGTGGTAAAAACTTGTGTTATTGGTCTCAGAAATTTAGTATATGGCAACCTTGGGTTTTACAAAGATGAACAACTACAAGAGTCTCAGTCCAGGTGAACAGAGCTCTTGCTGACAACAACCCTGGGCTCTGCATACGGGCATCCTGTGGGAAAGCATCCTTAAGGAAATGAGAGGAGCCTGCCAATTAATATTTTGGTTCGTCAGCAGTTACTAGTACTGCTTGCTAAATGCAGTAACTGCTACTGCGCTACTAAGGACTCAAGGCTCAGGTCCGAATAACAGCTCTTAGAAACTGTTTCACTGAAAATGGTAGAGATGTATGCTGTACAAATTGTTTTGAACAGTTATTAGGAAACACAGACTACCAGCATCGTGTCTGCATATTTCAAGGTTACTGCTCTAGGCCATGTTTTAGTTACATGTTAGTGTGTGTTAAGTATCTTCCCTTTTGATTTGAGGACCAAAATTTAATTTTCTCAGCTACATAATTGAACAAAATCAACACCCCTTCAATAAAATCTAGTAATTGACAAAAACAAAAACCAGAATGACATCAATGACCTATCACTAGTAGAAGGGACATCAAGACTATAATGCTTGAGCAGACTGAGTATCTAGGTCAGTGCTTTGTGAGTTTGCAAATTTTCAAGTTACACAGTCTGAGCCTAGTGGTTTGTCGGAAACCTCTGTGGCTATGGAAACTGCTCTGACGTCGCTGACCTTAGAGGCTCTGGGCGGTGCAGTTCTCTCAGCTCTCACAAGTCGTATCAGGGTCCACACAGGACTTGGTGCTGCTCTCAGGGGCCCATTGTCAGGTTTGAAAACTCCACTGACAGAAGGAACTTCAGAATAGCATCTGCCACATTTACAGCTAATACAAAGTTAACACCCTATTAAAGCTGTTCCTCGCCCCTGGTTTTGATGAAAGTATTTTTACTTATGATCTAACTATAGAAATTCAGGAGCTTTTGGACGGAGTACGTTTTTCTCAAAAACATTTTTCTTCATCGAAACAGTAGGTCACAGTTTTGGGTAGAGTGGAGGATAAAAATGCAAAATATGAAAAACCCTTGTGCTGTTGATTTGAAGCATGGCTACAGTTTCAGAGGAAATTTTGAATAAAGCCAAATGCCAGATTTCCCTTTCACCTTGCTATTGAAAAATATCTACTTTTTCAATCACTGTCTACAGTTTACCAGTGAGGAGTCAGGTCACAGTACTTTGACAGGCAGTCATTTCACGTATTGAACTTTGGGCTGCAAGCCACTGCTTGAATCTAGCTGTTGTCTCCTATGACCCATTATCTGAACTCCAATTAACAAAAGAGATCTTCTAATCTTGTACTTCAAGAAAGAAACATGAAGACTAAGGATCTTCAGAGTATTATAGAAGAAGAATTGTAAGTGCCATGTACCTCCAGCCACCTCATTAGAGAGCAGAAAGTCATTTTCTGCACAAAACTACCAAAAGTCAACTTCCCTCTGTATTTAGCATAAAGGCACAGCCTACAACAATCTCATCTGAGATTATAAATGGTAACAGGAATTTACTCCAAATGAAAACTGAAAAAGTACTCCACTGCAAATACGTCTCTCAGAAACTCAACTGACTGGCAGCCACTGTTTTAGCAGCTGTGGGGGGTCTCACTGGCTTTCAGGAACACTTAGCAGGGTCCAAATTTCTGAACGTCTCACAGAATGTGTCTCATGATTCATCAGCTGCACTCTGACTAATTGGCAGAGGGCTCTGGCAGAACCAGAAAACTGTTTATGCATCATTCAAAAGACTTCATTATTCATCGTGCAAAAAGTCGGTGGTTTCTCTCCCTTCCTTAAGCGGCTGCGTATTTACTTAGTCAGGGATTAAAAGCGTTACAGAACAGTCAGAAACGAACTTGGGAGTGAATGGTAGGTAATAAACCTTCTAAAAGATTTTTTTTTTCAAAGCAGCACTCCCTTTCTGCTCTGCCTCCCCTGGGGTGTGTGTTCTTCCAGCACAAACCTGGCAGCCGATCGATACTGAGCACACAGAGGAATGCACAGGGCACTGCTTCCAGTTTTCCATTTCACTATCTCTATAGCTTGCGAGGTTTGAAAAAACATAGTGGCAAATTGAATCTTTAACTCAAAATTAGACTTAGGTTCTAGATAATGGGGTGAAATCTTCAGAGTCCTACTGTCTTCAGTGATGAGGTTTCTTTGTGTAAAGCTCTCGAGGGAGAAGTCTTTCATATTGTCACCTCCAGATTTTTACACGTGTTATAAACTCCTTCAAAAACTGTTATAATCCAGTACACCTGTGACACTCAAAATCAAATAAGGAGAATATACCGGGGGCTTTGTTTGTTTGTTTTCTTTAACGTTCTATATTTGGCACCACTTTTGCAAGAACCTGGAGAGGCTTAAGGCTCAAGAGAGTAACCACTGAAATAACTGGAGTCCATAAGAGTAATTACCACACATAAGCATGGGTATTTCCAGTTTAAAATCAAGTGAAAGGAAAGCAGCATACGGAAAACACAGACCGTGGTTGCGTTTTCAATTCGCTACGGATAACCTCTTGAAAAATGAAAGGCCTATTTTTAGCATGATGATTGATTAGTGTTGCCATAGCAATAAGCAACACTTACAAGAGGAGGGTAGAACCTAAGTATGCCAAAACACTTGCCAAAGTCTTAAAGAGACAGACACGTACGGTGTTTCACAATTGTCTTATGGAAAGGACTGAAAAAATAACCT